CAGTCTGGTTTGGCGTGACTGCTATCAGCCCGACTCGATTCGGTATCTAGAAACGAGGGGTGCATGTGGCATAAGGCCGAGTTTAACGTGGGTTTCCAGAGCCCGTAGGCTCGGCCAAAAAATGCCCGTAAAAACCTATAAACGGGATCGGGTTGATCAACCTCCCCAAACGAGACTCTGCCCTTCGGCGGAGCCTCGTCCGGGTTCCTCTCTGCTCAGAAGCAGAGAGTTCGACCGTCAAGCCGAGAAGCTCGGCTTGAATCGTCCCTCTCTCTTGAGAGGCGTAGTATACATAGTGTTAGGAAGAGTTCATTCTGTAGTTATAGGTAAGGTCCCATGACACTTAGCATTCTTTTGTAGAACTATACATCTGTTGCCTCGAGTCTCTTCTTCATCTTTGAGGAGACCGTCCAACATTCGCTGCCGTAAAGGAGGACAGATGTCACGTAGCAGCTCAGTACTCATTTCTTTGTTACCAAAGAGATCCTCCTGTCCCGCAATACTCTGCCCAGAATTTGGAATGCCTCCTTGGCCATCCCAGTACGTCTACGGATCTCAGTGTCGCAATTTACAGCAGCCAAATTATGTAATAGAAAATAAAAAGGAACAAGAAGGAAATTAGTTGAAACAAAATACTGAAAGAAAGAAGTGAACAAAATAAGATTAAAATTAAATGAAGAAGGAAGATATTATGTTCTTAAACATCCAAAATGTTTCAGCTTTTAATAACCCAGAAAAAGTTGATAACTTTAAAAGACGAATCAATGATTGGCTCATGTTTTCTTAATTTCTTCATTCTCTTTTTTTCTTTTATTTGTTCAATGTATATTTTCTCGTTTACTTTCTTTTTTCTTTCATTCTTTCGTTCGCGTTTTTTTATTGCTGTTATTCGCTCGATCTTTTTTATTTGCTTAGTTTTGTTTATTTTATTTGTTCTGTTTTCTTTCTATTATTCTGTCGATATTTCTTTCTTTGTTTTTTTTTTTTTTTGTTCACCTGCCTTCTTTCTTTCGTTAATACGTTCAGTCTTTCTTTCGCACTTTCTGTTTTTTTTTTCTTATTTCCGCTTTTTTCTTCTTTCATTTCTTTTTTTTTTACCGTCTTTGTTGAAATGTTTCTAGCAAGTTTTTTTCACACACTTTTTTTTCCACCGCCAGTCAATCCCATAAAAATCAGCAGAAAAAGCCAGACCTGTTGGCTGCTTCACGTTCGTTGCCGCCGCGTGGCTTAGACGAGACGAGACGAGACGCGACGAGACGAGACGAGTCGAAATAGCCAACACAAAGTACAGCCTGCCTTACCACATGGCTTTACACGTCACTCCACCACACCGTACCACTCCACGTGGTTGCACGACACCAGACCGTCTTGTCCTAGCGCGAGAGAAAACAAGGCTAACAACGAACTTCACCTAATATAGACGGTGAGCAAACGGTCGTTCAACATTTAGCCTAAAATGGCCGACTGACAAACCCGCTGGGGTTTAAGCCTAAGAAAAAATAAAGCAAAAGTCGTTAGAGGGAGTAAATGATGCTTGGTTGTGGGTCGTCGGTATCGCCATTACTAAATTCTACCTTTCTTTCATTACACACACGAACTAGAAAATAAATTATTTAAAAAAAAAATTAATCAGTTTTTTTGCTTGCTTATTTGCTGTTTCGAGGAATTAGAAATGTTTTAAAGATTATTTTTGGTTTAAGTATTTAGAAATTAAACACTTGTTTGCGTGTTCGGTTTTGTGGTTCTTTTGTTTCACCTCAGGCCTTCTTGTTGCCCTTACTGGCGATAGCTCGATTGGTGGTGATGACGTCTGAACCCGAGAAGAAGAAGAAGAAGAAGAAGAAGAAGAAGAAGAAGAGTGAGAGGAAAGTAAAAGGAAAGAGAGGTTGTAGTTTGTTGGCAAATCTGAAGTCAGAGAAAAATACAGAAAGAAGAGAGAGAGAGAGAGAGAGAGAGAGAGAGTGCAGAGTGCAGAATGTTGTAGTGAAAGAGAAAGAGGAAATAGAATAGAAAATTGTGATACTCTTTAATGATTCGTCCCAATTCGTTTATCGGACTACAAATTCTCAGATATGTTGTCTGTTGCTAGGAAAGTTGGTTCACTGTGTCCCATACAATTTTCTCACCTGAGTCTTATACATTTATAAGTCTACCATTCGTCCATGCTTAAATCTTGCTATATATTTAGAGATAGAATCTAAAAAAAGATTCTGCAATACTATTGATTTCAACCCGGCGTCTCGGCTTCAGTCACTTCCGACACCCCCCACCCCCGCTGTAATATAGCTTTCCTTTGTCTAAACTATAAATACTTTCATGGTAACAGTTCTGATAAACGTTTCTCTATGGTACCTAGACTTTATGAATTTAAGTGAAGTACTAGATTGGCGGATAGGTCTCATCATTTTACATCTGAAATAGCTAGATGTAAACGTAAATGTTCTATACTAACAGTTTCTAATCTCTCACTTTTTGTTAGTGGAACTTTTTTCCAGCTTCTTGATTTCCGGTCTTGCTTTCCGGTTTGATCTTCAGAAATCTAAATGTCAAGAGTTGTTTTCTGTCTTCTTAATTTCTGTTCTTATACTGTTCTGGAACTTCAATAAGACTTTTTTCAATTTTCTTATATCATTTCACCCTGTTTTCGCTAGATCTTTTAAACACTGTACCGCCATCCATTCACTTAACCTTATAAAGAATGTCATGCGCTGTTTTCCTCTGTCCTACTTGTCTTTATTATGCCCTGTGGGTATCAAATTTTCCACGCCCTCTTTCCTCATTATGTGTCCTAGAAATTTCAATTGTCTATTCCAGATGTTAAGAATAAGCATCTTTTTTGTTTCGATTTTCTCTAAAACTTGGTCGTTGCTCCATCCCTGATATCCTCAGCTGTCGTAATATTTAATACTTAATATGCAATCACAAACAGAAATATAGATTCATGAGAAATTATAGAGTAGAAGTATATAAATACACATAATAAGAGAATAGAGATAGAATCTAAAAAAGATTCTGCAATACACATAATAAGAGAATAGAGATAGAATCTAAAAAAGATTCTGCAATACACATAATAAGAGAATAGAGATAGAATCTAAAAAGATTCTGCAATTAAGAGAAATTACTGATTCATATACAGATATATATACTGTTTATATATATATATATATATATATATATATATATATATATATATTCATTCATACATGTTTCATTAAATAATATAGACAAGTGTTGTCTATTTATTTTATGTAAATTCTTTTCATGACGTCTGATAAGCTTAATAACATTATCATTAAACAAAGAAAGAAAATCACAATATTGATCCATATTTTTTAATCCAATCTAAGCTTTCGGCTTACATAAGCCATTATCAAAGATGTCAATTACTGTAGAACATATTAAGCAATATACGGAGAAGGCAGTGATGATAGTCTGTGATTGTTTACATGGATGATTTCCGAGCAACGATAAACACGTACATATAAGACGCTAGAAGCGAAAATCGCACCGCAGCTCCTGACGTCACATATGACCACTCGAGAGTGAATTCCAGAAGTATTAAGTATGGGAAGCCGTTGGTGTAAACCAATGGCTTCTGTTACCATTTATAGACATTTAAGGATATTTGTAGAGATTCCATAGTTGATTTTGTTTAGGTTGGGTTTCAACTGTTTATATATATATAAATTTAAATTTAAATCCCCCATCGCTTATTAATAATAATGGGCACCTATAATACAAAAACTGTATATTGTGAATCCCAGAAAAAATACACTCCGGGCCTCTTATAAGAAACACCACATGGTAGGAACTGATATTAAACTACAAACAAGTCCTGACCATAAATAAACTCTAAACCCATAGCGCTACCCCAGGCATAAGATACCTTATGCCCTCGCCAACCGCTAACACAAACCCACTCTCATTAACAAGGCGTCTATCAGAGGAGGACTGACAATGAAAATAAATTTAAAACAATACTCCGAGACAGACACTTAAGGGCTGATGATAGCCGTGTACCGGACGGCCTGAATTAGACTATCGCTATGTTGAGGTAATTTTTGTTTTTTTTGCTGTAATATATATATATATATATAGTTTTAAGGTGTGCTATATTTATGGGATAAAGTGCTCAAAATCAGAGATAGAGCGTATGGAAATATAAATATAAAAGTGAACACTCAGAGGCGACAGGCTGTTTCATGCTGGACGCAATCGTCAGGCGGTTTGATTTAAAAAGCCTGTTGTCCCTGAGTGTTGACTTCAATGTTCACTTTTATATATATATATATATATATATATATATATATATATATAATTTTCAGATCCACATGCACTACTATCTTCTTCATCATGTGCCATGTCCCCTTAGGACATATGTGATCACGGCTCTTCACAATTTCCTGTCCTTTGTCGCTCTTAATAAATTTTATCTTTTTGTATTCCTCCAATCGCTGTCCCGTCATCTATTTAGTCAAACTCACTAAGTATGTTATGCATCGTTTTCCTCTGTCATGTGAGTATCAAATTTTCCAGACATTCTTTCCTCATTATATGCCCTAGAAATTTCACTTGTCTCCTTCTGATGTTAAGTATAAGTTTTACTTTTTCTCTAGAAGTTCCTTGTTGATCCCATATTCGGTCCATAGTATCCTCAACATTCTTCTGTAGAACCACATTTCTGCTGTGTTAAGTCTTTGTCTCATCTTTGAGGAGATTGTCCAACATTCATTGCCTTATAGGAGGACAGATATCACTTAACTTTAAGTTCAGTGCTCTTTTCTTTGTTCAGTATTCTTTTTAGTACTCTTTTTTTGCTTCTAACGAAGTTTTTCTGTGTCTTGATACTCTGCTTAACTTTTGGAATGCATCTTTGGCTATCCCAATGCGTCTTCAATTTTTTAATTAGTAAATAATTTTTTTAGTAAGTTTGATATTCACCGTGTGCTTCATATTTGAGACCTACCGCCAAGTTAAAATGAACACATGTCAATAGAATGTTAAACATTAGCTTTTTACTTCTATCTATCTATCTATCTATCTATCTATCTATCTATCAGTGTGTTCATATCTCCCTCTTTTTTTCTCTCTCTCTTAATCTGTTTAGCTACCTATTTCTCTGTCTCCATATGTTCATATCCCTCTCTATCTATCTATCTATCTATCTGTCATACATATTGCAGAAATACTCGATTCTTTCAACTGTGATGGCATCGGAATTTTCGTACGTTTTGTGTTTTGTCTGGTGGGACGAGTCTGTTTTGTAAAAGTAACCATTCTGAAAGCCCTCCCATTATCTAGAACTCGAATCTTATAAAATAAACGTCATGGCAGACATTTGAATCATATTTTTATTCATTTTCAAGCTGACTTTCAAGACTATAAAACAAAAATATTTTAATTGGAGACATTTAACGTTTTTTTCTTTCATATTGGAAGATTTTTACTGGTTTGACTATAAGATAAAATTTATTGTGACTTTAAAATTATTTTAGACAAATGTTTCGAAAGGGGAAATCAACAAGTGAGTCAATTGTTAAGCAAATTGACCTGATTTCAGCTATTCGGTTGTCCGATTGTAGAATAAACTTGTTGCATTCCAATTTAGTAGATTGTTCGGAAAATAATGCCCGATTTTGGAATAAATATTTAAGAAAGTTAGAATATATTAGCTTGTTCGAAAATTAATTTCCGATTTTAGAATAAAACTTTTGTATTCTAATATATTGGGTTGTTCGGAAAACAATGTCCACATTTAAAATAAACCTTTTGTGTTCTAATATATTTAGGTTGTTTGAAAACTTAGGCTTACGATACCATGGACTGAACACATCAGCAATGGTGACGTTTTAGGGAAAATGGAAAGAAAAAAAGTAAACCTTTACTTAGATTCACAAAGAGTTAAAATTTCTAAAGTATTTTTATGATGTCAACGAACAGTCGTTGCCACTTTGTGATGCCAACGAATACTCGTTGTTACTTTCGCAATGCTCGTTGTAGTAGAGACTTTGTAATCGCAGATACAACTATAGTACACCGTTGAACAAAACTGGTGCCAGGCGCCTTCGAATAGCACTTACACTAATAGTACTTGGTCGATATAGTAATCCGTATAGTGATCCGAATAAAGAAATAGTATTGTGAATAGAGTAGAGAATAGCGGTCCGTATAGTAATAGAGGATAGACTAGAAATGACGATCATATATGCGTTTCCTCTATGGTCACGTGGTCTACTTAAATCATTAATGGGATCGCCTGTGTTTACTCTCTCGCGATCTATGTTCAAACTCAAGTGTCGTCAGTGACATTTTATTCCTATGTAACAGGTATATAATGAGGAAAGATTAGAAAATAGAAATATAGTTTAGAAGCTGTTTGAGTGAAATTTACTCCAAATGAACGAGAAAGGAACAGGGATGATATGCTACCGTAAACATGTATGTGATGGTCTAAAATTGAAGGTCTACGCTGGTGGGTCTTCTCCAGTCGGATATAACTGGTTTAAACTTTTATCATAGAATTAGTGGCAGTGTAGTGCGAGGTTGGCAAAGTTTCGTCGGTAGGATACGGGTTGAAGAGTACAAGATAGTTAATCCTTCACAAGCCCACGTAGGAAAATGGCCTTAGAAACAAAGACTAATTCTAATCTGTGTAATATCTAATATCCTATATGGCTGTAAGAGTTGGACATCTTGACAATCCTAAGAGGATTAGAAAGACTATCTGTTTTTATTATCAGCGGAGATAAACTTAACAACGGAAGATTCGCGAATGAGACTCTGTTGACAGCAGACTCAGGTTATACGGAAAGCAAGGAAAATGGACGATTAACTGTAAGAAGACAGAATGGTTGTCAGCAAAAGAGACAATCCAAAGTGTGAGCTACATATTGGGGACTTTGCTATCAAGCAGGTGCTGAAATGTAACTATGTAGTGTAGAAAACGGAAAGTGTCATACTGAAATGCAAAAACATACAGAATTAGCGAAAAATTGCCTTTCAGAAATTAAGCAAAATAGAATGTCTATAAACAAAAAATTAGTTCGCCTATCGCCCGGTTCACACCCCTTCCCTGTCTACTGCAAAGGAATAGGTGTTTATCTCGTTTCCTGTTTGGGATTGGGCTTCCGCTTTCTTTTAAATTATTCTTATTCTCTTTCACTCCCCGTAATCTCTTGTGTCTTAGTAGCATTATTACCTTGCTTGGGGTAAATTTATTAAAAAAAAAATAGATAAATTAAAAAAAAAGAAAAGACTTCTGGACTGCTATGTAATATCTAATCTCTATCTAGGAAGTGATGAAGATGACACTTAAAAGGACATAAATGTGATTCTACTGACGAATTCTGAGAATATCATTGACATATCATGTGAGTAACGAAGAAGTTTTAAGAAAAGAAGTACTACAAGAAAATACAGACTTACAATAAGAAAGAGACAGCTGCAGTTTTGGGGACACATTATGTTATGGGACCTTACCCATAATAACATAATGGACTATTCCAGACGTAATAAATACTGCCCCTCAAGAGGAAGCAGGGAGTTCAGTCTGTAGTCTGGAGTGAGGTCCGTCAGAAGTCCGTCAGTAGTCTGTCAGAGCGAGTCAGTCTGAGGCAGTCCGAAACAGAGTCGCGTTCAGACAATTACTGCAAGACATTGGAATAGTGATACTGGTCGAGACTACATTGTTCTCCCTACTAAACCTGATTGTTCGTACTAACACTTTCTACTTCTCTGTATATATTCCTGTTTGTACTATATCTGTGTTATTCCATATACGTATTCGAGTTCTTCTTTATTGGTTCTACCTTGGACTATCACCGTTGTACAAGGAACTGGACCATAACATATTAAGAGGAGAGAAAACAGAGATTTTAACACAAACGGAGCAAATTGAAGATAAGAGAAGCAAGGAAAAAAATTAACTTTGTTTGATCGTGAACCACGTTCCACAAAGAAAAATAGCCTGGTTTGTTAATTTAAAGACATATCAACCTTTGTTGGGTTATTTACTCACAAATATAAGCCTCATTGGATAAAAAAAAAGAAATAGAAAGAATTAATAATCTGTATTTGAGTAAAACGGTTTTCAAGCATCTATCCGGCATATTCTTACTCCCAGAGTAAACAAAGTAAAGATGATTGTTTATGGAACAAAACTCCACAAATGGATCAAGTGTGCAGATTCACGATTAACCATATCCGGAAAGGACACAAACACACACGCGCCCGCACGCGCACACACAAAAAAGTGGTTGCGACAGAAATACATCCCATATTTTAAAAGTCTGTGATGGACGTGACAACTGTTCTTCTTTACGGCAGCAAATGTTCGACGATTTCCTCAATGATGAAGAAGAGACTCAAGGCGACGGAGATATGGTTCTACAGAAGGATGCTAAGGATATTATGCACTGAGCGTTTGAGCAACGAGGAGGGCTTAGGGAGTTTGCAAACAAGGACTAGGCTTATACTTAACATCAGAAAGAAGCAGCTGAAGTTTCTGGGACACGTATTGAGGAAGGAGGGCCCGGAGAATCTGATACTCACAGGTCGAATAAAGAGAACAGAGGGAAATAGAGACAAGGGAAAACAGCCCGTGATATACCTAGCGGCCTTAAGCAAGTGGATGAGAGAACAGGGTCTGGAGCAGGAAGCAGATGGAAGGAACTTGCTGAGAGCTGCAAGGGATAGAGGGAGGTGGAGAGCCATGATCGCCTACGCCCTGAGAGGATATGGCGCATGAAAAAAAAAAAAGAAAAGGTTCTGTGTGTGCACGCTTCGGTGCATAATGATTTACGAATTGTTAAGACAGTAAGTATTTTTTATTTTAACTTTCATCAAGCAGATAAATTTTAATTAAAATATTTTTAAGTTAAAGACATACACAAAGAGATCCCGCTTTGCCGTTCCGCCCAGTTGTTTCTAGAGTAATTATTTATATTTCATCTTTCTTTAAATGAACAATATTTTTAATATTTAAAAATAGTTTTAGTTAATCGTATTTAAAAAAAAAATTCTAAGTGAATAAGATTTAAATAATACAAGTTATTTTGTTATTTAAAGCCAGAAAATATTTTTAGATTGTAAGAGTTTTTTTTAGATAATAATACTTTAGGGATACAAGTCTTCCTAATTAACCCATAGCTGGAGGTAGAAGATGTGGATTCATAACTTTCTCAAGAGTATTTGCGCATATTCGAATATTTTGAACCTAGCTGGAAATTCGAACTTGGCTCGCCAATTAAAAATTCTGAGCCATTGTCCATTACGTTCCAGCACACCCAGGCTTACAGCATCTACTCTTTTCACGCTCGACGTTGCTTAACTTCGATGATCATACAGGATCCGGTGTTCCAACGTGATATGGCCGTAAGCCCGTTTAAACATGCGATGTATCCTGCCAAACTTAGAATATGTCAAACACCAGGATATCAAATTTTGATTTTCCTGAGGCGCAAGCAGACTGTTCCAACACGCTAAACAGGCGCTACACATTCATTCTTCTTTTTAATATCCGCCAGTATTATAGCTTGTGCTGTTCTCAGTTTTAATAAACATCAAAGTGAATTATTGCGAATGCAGTTTGTCAAACCAGACAAGCAGCTTTTCCCCATATGGAAAATGTGGGCAACACAAGCTTTCTTTCCACTAATTCCCACACAGCATTGGTCATTGTGCTGTACTAACTTAGCGTTAATAAATATCAAAATGGATTATTTGGAATGCTCATTTTCACGGAGAACAAACTGGCAGTTCACATGTGACAATAGGCGCCACCCTAATTTGTTCCCGCTAATCCTCACCACCATTGGACTCTGTGTTGTACTAAGTTAGGCTTAATAAATATCAAAATCGATTATAACAGATACTGATTGCCAAGTGAGTTAAGCAGATGATCACAAATCGGCGCTACACACTCTTAGTTCTCCCTTATTCACACCAGCATTGGACATTGTGCTCTATTCAGATTGTCCTAATAAATATCAATATCTATTATTTCAAATACTGATTGTCAAGCAAGTCAAGCAGATTATCTCCACATGGAAAACTGGCGCTTCACAATAATTCTCTGCTAAATCCTCACCAATATTCCAAGAGCTGATTGACATTTCAGACAAAATAAAGAAATATAGGCGCTACACAATCATTGTTCTCCCTAATCCCCACCAGTATAGGGCCTTGTTCTGTAGTAAGTTATTCATATAAAATTTAGGGCCTTGTTCTATATTAAGTTATCCTTATCAAATTTTCTGGATCCTGCATTTTGAATGTGGATTTTCATGGTTGCTAAGTCTTCCTCACTTGACACAAGATGACAATTGTACACTTAAACAGGGACACACAAAAGTACTTGTCTGTTTTCGTCATGCACCGAATGGGGGTGGGAGGGTCTGTACTGTAAAGTAAAACCACAAAAGATAAGGAGGCTAAAGTGAGTAGTTGGTGATAAATGAATAAGAGTAGGAGGATTTTTAAGAAGTTATTTTTAACCAAATAACCCTGTAAGCGATTTATAATTATACGGATGAAAGACCTGAGCACCCGGGGGAGGGGGGGCGAAAACCTACAGAGTTCTGGCAACAATAAAAAAAAAAACAAAATAAAAGAAAAAGAAACAAAGAGTACTTTATTTGTGACCTAAATGGCGGAGGATCGTTTTTTTTTCTACTTATTTCGTTTTCACCTGAACATAGGAAAAGCTAACACTGACATGATCCTAATCTAGCCGAATTCACATGAATGTCATAAAATCAAATTCAAGAAAAAGACTATAGTTTGGTTTAGTTTGGTTTGTTTAACGGCATATCAACCTCTATGTGTTATTTAATTTTTATTGCTGGTGATATATTTTTTCCAAAAAAAAAAAAATAATAAAATAAAAATATCAACATCTCTGGTTTATTTATTGCCAAAATCTAAATAATTTGTATATTTTCAACTAGAAAAAATATTCCTTTTTTATATATAATAATAATTGTCCTAATAAATGATAATATTAATATTTAGGTATAAATTTCCGATACCTAATACAAATTACACTATTCCGGTATAAATTTCCGACACCTAAAGTCTAAAATGAATTTTTAAAAATGATAAAACATTTATTTTAGCTTTAATTGAAAGCTAAATGATTAAATTTATTATTTCCAGAAAGTAAAATATTCTGGTTTATTTCAGATAGATATTATATAGGTTGGAATGTCAAACTTAATTTCGATTTCTTAAAATTTTCTTAAACTCTGAAAGCTCCAAGACGAACGTTTCAGAGTGTTTGGGTGTCAATCTGAGAACAGTGAAGAGGATTTGAAAAGAGTTGGATGATATATCCAGTTAACATCATAGTGTTTGGAGTGATCACAAGTGATGATGACGACATGCCTCCATTCATCTTCCTACAGGGCCTCAGACTCAACATGGAGGCCTATATCAAGGGCCTTCAGGTGATAGTGCTACCCTGGGTCAAGAGGGTGACTGTTGAACGACTCTATGTCTGACAACAGGACTCTGCACCATGTCACACAAGCAGGAGAACCCAGTCATCGATGTGAGATAATTTCTGCGACCACATCACCAATTACATCTGGCCATCTAACTCCCCACACTGCACCCTCCTTGATTATAAGAGAGACCAACAAAATTCCTTGTAACACCAAAGATCAACTGAAGGCAAGAATTATGGCAGGATTCACCAACTTATACAAGGAGACCGTCTAAAAGAGTTGCTGGAGATTCCAAAATGGTCTGGAGGCCGTGTTTGGAGCCAATGGCGATTTTATTGAATGAATTTACTCTTTAGTATTTTAAGATATTTTTGTGTAATTTTGGTAAATATAATTGTTAAAATGAAATGTCATTTTCATTTTTGCATAATTTAGACGACAATTTATCCATCGCAACCGGTATATATTTAGGTGTGTGTAAAAGTTAACACAGATCCACACCAAGCGTCATGCTTACGAAGGTGTTTGGAGTGATCACAAGTGATGGCAACGTTATGTCTCCAGTCACCATCCCACAGGGCTTCAGAGGCCTACATCAAGAGCCTTGAAGAAGTAGAGCTAGCCTGGGTAAAGAGGGCGGCTGCTGTAAGGCTCATAACCCAGTCATGGCTGTCAGACAATTTCTGCAACCATATCACACCTTACATCTGGCCACCTAACTCTCCAGACTGCAACCCTCATAATTATTATGTGTGTGGCGCATTTGAGCGAAAGGCCAACAGAACTCTTAGTAACACTAATGATGAACTGAAGGTAAGGATTATAGCAACATTCAGCAGCTTAAACAAGGAGACCGTCTAGAAGAGTTGCAAGAGATTTCGAAATTGTCAGGCGTCCATGGTTCAAGCCAATGGCGATTTTATTGAATAAATTTGCTCTTTAGTATTTCAAGATATTTTTGCGTAATTTTGGTAAATCTATCTGTTAAAAAGAGGTGGCAGTGCAATTTCCATTTTTGCGTAATTTAGACAAGTTATCCATCGCACCGTGTACAGGATTGTGCGGGCATATTTACTGGAGGCAGTGATATGCGTATTTTATGTTGTAATGTTAATGCAGTGGTATTTTGGTATGCAGTTTGGTTTATTTCGGAAAATGTAGGATATTGTATATTAAAGACATGAAAGTGTTTTCATGTTGGTTGATGTATTTTTGTCAATTTTGCTCTAAATATAAATGTATTGCTGGTATTTTTACTAAAAAAATGTGTTTTTGTACTTTCACAGTGTTTTGTTTTTGTTTTGAGTGTTCACTATTTACCCATACATGGGGCCCTAACAGGTCAGGGTGGACCTAGGAGCAACCACATTTGAGATGTGTTTCCACGCTCCTCAAAACCTCCAATCTCCCAATCAGATACCTTGCAGCCGGATGTGGTATATTGTCATGCACAAGACTTTTTCTAGTAGAAATAATAGACATAATAATTTTGGTATATCTGGATAATTTTGTTTAAGCATTGTCATTATTAATATCTTTGATTAGTCTTGCCTTTGGATTGTGTCCGTTAGTCAATCTGTTTTTATATTATACAAAAAAACTTATATAGTATTTTTTATATTATACAAAAAAAGTCATGCCATCAACACATCTAAGCTTACAACACCTGATAATTCCAAGTGGTCACCCATCTAAGTACTGATCAGTCTCGACGTTGCTTAACTTCGATGATCGTACGAGAATCGGCCGTCCTGTGTATGACGATAAACTACATCCGCACCCTGGGTAAGACGATAAACTACATCCAACAGCAAGGCCTCTGATCAGGAGGTTTTAAGTAGCGTAGAACCACCTCTGAATCGCTGGTGTTCCCAGGTCTACCCTGACCTGGGGTGGTAACACCTGTTAGGGTCCTAACTATGGGTAAATAGTTAACCCCCAAACTGGGGTCAAAAGCTATAAAAGTGTAAAAATAGGTTTTAATACCAGAACTACTTTGTAAAAAAATTAATATCAGTAATACATTTTTGAAAACAAATATTACTAGCAATACATTTTTTGAAAAAAAAAATATTAACAGCGAAGGAAAATTCTAACAAGAAATAGATTTTTGAAGGAAAAGAATATTACCAGAAATAGATTTTTGGCAAAATATATTACTAATAAGGAAAATTTTGTCGGTGTTAAATAACCCTTTGAGGTGGATATGCCGTAAAAACAAACCAAACCAAACGAGAATCGGTGACATGGCCGTAAGCCTTGCAGCTCTGGTACGTCGTATTGTAATTACCCTACTATCTATTCGGATTGGGATCGCCATCTCCGCTGTTTTGGTCCCCACAGTTCTACTGGTAGATTCTCTTTATTTCTTCGTTGTTTTTTTTGTTTTTTTTCACCCCAAGCAAGGCGGGAAGCCACTAGGACGCAAGGGGTTACAAAAGATTTGGAGCAAGATCAGATAGGAGTGATAGAGGAAAGGATGAAGAGAAGGATAGTGGATAGAACAAGGCAACTGGAGATGTCGATTGGCATTACATTACATCGAGAGGTGCGAGATATGAAGCTATTGGAGTAGAAGAAACGGCTACATTTAATAGTTTCGACAGTGAGAGGGTGAGAACAGGATGCCAGTCTCGTAGGGCGCTTGAATTCATGAAGTCTGGAAACCAGTGAATGCAGCTCCTCGGAGTAATTACCATGAAAGTAATTGTAAAAAAGACAGAGAGAGGCGACGGCACGTCTGTAAGAGAGCGACTGTAGACGAGATGCCAGAACAGGGCCAATTATATTGCATATCCGCCTCTGGATCTTATCAAGAACTCAGAGTCGAACAGAAGGGGCTCCAGACCATATATGGCAGCAATACTCCATGCAAGGGCGAATTGTTGATTTGTAGATCTGAAGGATCGATTGATTCTAAGATGGGATGCTCTTTTTTTCGTGTTTTCAAGTCATATATTAAATTCTGATGTAACCCATTGATATCTCATGACTTGTTCAAACTATTATCTTCATTTTCGTTGTTTTTGTCTCTGTGTCTCAGTAGGTTTTCCGTCCTTACATAACATTACCCGATATCTTCTTGGATTTCTTTAATTCTTTCACTCTAGCATAAGTCATACCAACTACACATCCAAGGTTACAACAACTGTTATTTCCAAGTGGTACTGATCAGGCTCGACGTTGCTTTATTCCATTCATTATTTGCTAATCTTTTACCTCTTTCTCTTTTTTCTCCTTTAAAAAAAAAAAAAGTCTTTCTCCTTTCCCGTCTAGTTCTTTTTTTCATTTCTCATTCTTTTTATTCAATATATTCCTTCTTGTTTTCTTCATTTACTTTTTCTTTCTTTGTTTCTACCTCCACCACGTTTCTACTACATTCATATCTTTTTTTCCAAACTTCTTCTTTCCCTTTTTTTTATCAACTTCTTTAATAAACACCTTCCTTTTTTTTCTTTTTATTTCTTTATACATCTTCACTTTTCTTCTGTTTCCTCTTCATTTTCATATTGCAGTTTTCTTTTCCGTCATTATTCACGCCGTTCATTTTTACTCGTTCTCTTCCATCTTGCCTTCTCTTAATCTCGTATCTTCACTTTTCTTTCATTTCTTATTTTTACGTTTTTTTCTCATCATTTCCATCATGTCTGAGAACATTTTCTTTTCTTCTTTTCTTTCCTATATTTTAACCCATTTCTTACAAAATCGCATCCTCCAACAACGATCCACAACACTCCTCCACAGCCCTTTTTGATTCAAGCACACATCTCCCCACAATAAATTTTCATACCCGCCCCTTTATTTCCTATTTCTGAGCTGATGTATGCCGATCGACATCCGGAAAGAGACGTATTCTTGATCTCACATATAGAACTCTCCTGTCTTTGAAAAACATCTTAGCTACCTCCATTTCCTCATACTCAACCAATTTTTTTTTCTTCCATGGTTCCTCGTTCGTTTGATGTCCGAGACAATGTGTCTCAGATTATCTGCCATTCCATCTTACGTTTTCTCCAATGCCATCTTTTATTTTTACCGTATTTATTTTCAGCTTTCTCTTATTTATCCCACTCATTCCCATTTTTGTTACCTCGTCTTTGCATATATACCTTATATATACATTTAACCACGTTCATAATGATTAAAAATAATAATAATAATGATGATGTTCATGCTGACGATGATAATATATATATATATATATATATATATATATATATATATGCATGCATTAATGTGGGCCCTAAAGGGCTTGTGAAATAGCATTGCTATATCTAAATCAGTGTTGAGAGTTCGGTTCTCATAAGAGCGCTAAATTTTATGGCCTTGTGCCAGATTAAGCTAAGCTTCATATATATGCTCTCTTAGCTTATTCGCATCTATATCCTTTTTTAAATATATTCTTATTAATTCAAACGTTATTTTTAGTGGATACGCCAATTTGAATTTAAACATTGGATTGTGCACTCAAGAAATGTGTGGGTTGATAGATGCAATACGCACTGTTTAAAATAAAAACGGGGCGTCTATTTCAAATTCGAGCATCCAATATAAATAACGTTTGAAATAATAAAAATATCGAATTAAAAATAGATCTTTTAATTTTAATTGTATGTGTAGATATACGCACACACACACATATATATATATATATATATATTAGTTGGTACAAAATAATGACGTAATAATGTCGTTTTTTGACGTATTTTTTTAACGTCAAAAAACGACATTATTACGTCATTATTTTTGCACCAACCTATTATATATGTGTGTGTGTGTGTGTTTGTGTGCGTGCGTGTGTGCATGTGTGTGTGTGTGCGTGCAATGGATTGTAATAATAAATATAAATGCCTTGACATTGTGGCATTGAAATTAAATTAATCATTCACTCACAAGTAATTTACCATCGACTGAGGAGACACATTTGTGGTGTTTAACCATAATTGCTATTATGTAGTCATTTTTAACATGTTTTTTGGTTTTAATCTCCTGTAATATGGTTATTTTAACAAAGCATATATAAACCTACATATAATTTCACGTATATATATATATATATATATATATATATATATATATATATATATATATATCATTGCAAGCTTAGTCAACGAAGAAATGAGAAGGTTTCAACAACTACTGCAGGATCCAAATGTATATACATACACACAATCAGCACACATACAAAAAAATAAAACATACACATGCACACACGCATATATATTTACAGACGTATATATATATATATATATATATATATATATATATATATATATATATATATATATATATATGTACCTCTCTCTCTAGATACATATATACATATATATATATATATATATATATATATATATATATATATATATATATATATATATGTGTATGATGTATGTATGTATCTCTCTCCCTATATATATATATGTATGTATGTATGTCTATATATAAATATACATCTGTTACATCTCATATATATATATATATATATATATATATACACACACACACACACATATATATATATATATATATATATATATATATATATATGCACACACATATACATGTTAATGTTTATCGTTATGTTAACTAGCATGCAAAAAAAATCGATAGCTGCATTCGTCACAAGTGGGAAAAATTCAAATCTGCATTCGCTTGCTTAAAATCAACGTTGATTCTGATTCCGCAGAACTGGATTGGGTGTGAAAAAGTATTTGTTGTTAACATTCTTTTTTCATTCGGTTTTTCCAGTTAAGAGTCCTTTTTTTAAAGCTGATCGTTTTGTGTTCATTTTGTTTAGTTCTTTTTTTGTAACAGATCTAATGTTTAGTATAGAGCCTAGAAAAAATTCGCAGTGTGAGATAGACAAGAAGTAAAGCTTGTAGCAACATCAGCTCTGCAAAGGGCACTTCTTTAAAGGCAAGGAAGGACAAAAATATTTTAAGTCAAGTGATAGCAATTGCTGTATGAGTCGTACGATTTTTGAATGAAGCTTACAGCCAACAAGGCTATGCTGCTATACACACACACACACACACACACACATATATATATATATATATATATATATATATATATATATATATATATATATAACGATAAACATTAACATGTATATGTGTGTATATATATATATATATATATATATATATATATATATATATGTGTGTGTGTGTGTGTATATATATATATATATATATATATATATATATATATATATATATAATTTATTTCGTATTTGGCATAATTTTTCAATACTGAAGTATGACTTTCCTTTGTTTTATTTGGCGTTTTTCCTCTTGACATTATTCCTTCTTTCTATTTTTATGTCTGTCTCTTTTTCATCCAGTTCCTCTCTCTCTTACTCTTTATCATTTCTTTCTTTCCAGCGTTGTTGTTACTTTCTCTATGCTTTGCCACACCTTTTCTTTCTCTGTACTCTCTCTTCTTCTTCAACCTCCTCTCTAAAATTTCTATTTTTTCTTTAATTCTTTCCTTACGACCTCATCATCAATGCTTTTTTTTCCTCATTTACCGCATCCGTTTCTTGGTTTTATCTTTTCTTCCCTCGCTGATTTATTTAGAAAAAAAAATTCCCGATATTATTTCATTTTGATGCTATGTCATTCCATTTTTTTCCTCACACTTTTCATTATTTTTTTTTAAGTATTTGCCTATACTTTTTCCCCTTCTTTAGTTTTTTTTTTAACCTCCTGCTTTCTCCCATTTTTTTTTTATTTTATTTCCCCTTTATCTCTTGTTCGTCTCTACTCGAAGCGACATTTCGCTTTCAAGCACTCTTAAATTCGCCTGGCCTATTTGGAACCGAGTTTTCTGGAAATCTTTTCCATGGATGTCATCTAATCATCTTCACCGTCGGGTTGGCCCACCCACGTGTAATTCTGATCGGCCCATCACTCACAATGTATATGAAGAATTTCTTCCCAGGTCCAGTTAGCCTTACTTTATAGTCAAAGACTGTGTGGCCCAAAATTTCGGCAGTGAACAAAATAACTGTACGTGATGTGATTGGCTCATCGGCTAAACTCTGTCTTCAGTTCATCAATTCGGATTAATAAAAAAAGAAAAACACCTTCTGTTGTTAGTGTGTTGATTTGGTAATTTCTATATTAGATTGAGTCATAAATAAATTCCGTTTTTGTTTATTTTGTGATGTCAGCGAACACTCGTTGCCACTTTTGTGATGTCAAAGAATAATCGTTGTCACATTCGTAATGCTCGTTGTAGTAGAGAATTGTAATCGCAGATACAACTATAGTACGCCGTTGAACATTGCTGGTGTCAAACGCCTTCGAATAGCACTCGCGCTAATAGTACTTGCAGGATAATATTCACTCGAATAGTAGCCACCGTATAGTGATCTGAATAGAGAAATAGTATAGGGAATAGAGTAGAGAATAGCGTTCCGTACATTAATAGAGGATAGAGGCGAAATAGCAATCCAAATAGTAATAGAGGATAGAGAAGAAATGGTGGTCCAAATAGTAATAGAGGATAGAGAAGAAATGGTGGTCCGTATCGTAATAGAGGATAGAGAAGAAGTGGTGGTCCGAATAGTAATAGAGGATAGAGAAGAAATGGTGGTCCGAATTGTAATAGAGGATAGAGAAGAAATTGTTGTCCGTATAGTAATAGAGGATAGAGAAGAAATGGTGGTCCAAATAGTAATAGAGTATAGAGAAGAAATGGTGGTCCGAATTGTAATAGAGGATAGAGAAGAAATGGTGGTCCAAATAGTAATAGAGGATAGAGAAGAAATGGTGGTCTGTATAGTAATAGAAGATAGAGAAGAAATGGTGGTCCGTATCGTAATAGAGGATAGAGGAGAAATAGCGATCAATCAGACGCCACGTGACGTCCTACTTATGCGTTTCCACTAAGGTTAAGTGGGCTACTTAATTCAATAATGGGATCGCTTGTGTTTGCTCACTGGCGATCTATGTTCAAACTCAAGTGTCAGCAGCGACACTTTATTCCTATATAACAGTTTATCAATTTTTCACCGTTTCGCCCAGCTCGTACTTACCTTCCAAGGCGCATTACGGGCGTCCGGCGATCGCGTACCCTTCTTTCCTCTTTAGGATATGATTTAACTGTTCTTTCTTCTATGGCCATAATGATTTAACTTTCTGGTGATCTGACTAATCAGTGGCTACAATTTTTCATAATGAGGGGCCCTGGTTGACAGTTTTCTGGTTACTACCTACGATTGGTAGTAAGGCGCCTGGACTCTTTGGCAGGATTTAGAACGGATGCTCTTGTCATTAGTCTCATAATATTAGGGTTATATGTAGTACCATGTTGGAAAAAAATGGAATGACATAGCATCAGAATTAAATAATATCGGGATTTTTTTTTCTAAATAAATCAGCAAGGAAAGAAAGGGTTAAACCTGGAAACGCATGCGGTAAATGAAGAAAGAAAGCATTGATGATGAGGTCGTACCTGCATGTGTTTCCGGTGGGTAAACCTGGGGCTACATTATGCTTTAGTCTTGGCCACGTTCTAGCTAGATTCTGTTGCCATTGACGAAATATAGAAATAATTATTTGGCCTTTTCCTATTTTAATCGTCAAAACATACCTCCTTCTAAATAAGACAACAAAACGAAATACGAGAAAACCAGTAAACAAAAAATTACCTACCATATTCAACCGTTCCATCTCCAATATTCATGTTATCCGTTCCAATTTCTTTACTGTAGAATCTTTTCTCTTGAAATGGTCCCCAGATATC